CTGGAACTGAGAGGCCAAAGGAAGATCAGCTGTCATGACAGAGCTCACATGGGGAGATATCAGTGCCTGTTCTCTCACCTCAGAGAGACCCAGAGCACCCTCGCCCCAACCCTAAAACAGAAAGAAAATAGGAAGTCTAAAAGGCCCTCCCAAAATGAGGCAAGAACCTTGAGAAGAGCAAATAAAATAGTCAGAACAGACCTCTTTAAAAAATGCAGATAACAACTTCAACAACCACATACCCAACGGCTCAGATGCATGTATAATATGTATACCTTATCCCATGTGTGTTTAAACACACATACAGAATTCTCCTCCTCCTCATTCTTCAAAATGTGATTTTAAAGCTTTAAAAAGTCATCTTGTGCCTAGTGATGGTGGCACACGCCTTTAATCCCAGCACTTGAGAGGCAGAGGCAGGTGGATCTTTGTGAGTTTGAAGCCAGCCTGGTCTACAGAACAAATTCCAGGACAGCCAGAGCTACACAGAAAAACCCTGTCTCAAACCAAACAAAAGCAAAACAAAACAAAGAAGTCAGCAAGTGAGCTGAAGCTGAGGATGTCACTGATGAGATCTAAATTTAGTGGTTCATTAAGGAAGTCTGAGCTGGGTGGTGGTGACACACGCCTTTAATCCCAGTACTTGGGAGGCAGAGGCTTGGCAGACCTCTGTGAGTTCGAGGCCAGCCTGGTCTACAGAGTGAGTACCAGGGCTATTATACAAAGAAACCCTCTGTCAAAAAACAAAAACAAAACAACAAGAAGAAGTCTCTGTGGCAGGGAAGCAGAGGCTCTGCTTGAAACCATGGGAAGAGGAAAAGAAGGGTTAGCCACTAAACCTGAAAACAGAAAGAATCCATTTGCCAAGAAAACAAAAATAAAAGCATCAATGGTTGTTATATAATTGAGAAAGAAAATACCCCAAACATTAGAAAGACTTGAGTCTATGACTTGTATAATTTGAAAGAAGATCACAAGATTTCAAATGATTCTGGAATCCCAGAAACAAGTTACCTTTAAAAAGAGAATAATACTTGGGTTAGGGAGATGGCTCAGTTTGTAAAACAATGGCTACACAAGTGTGAGGACCTGAGTTCAAATCCCTGGAACCCACATGAAGTTAGGCATGGCAGTATATCTGCAGTCCCAGAATTCCCGCAGCAAGATAAGAGGCAGAGACAGAATCCCTGGACACTCCCATGCTAGCCAGGCAAATACAGCGGTGGACAAAAAGAGACCCTGTCCCCAACAAGGTGGAAGGGAAATAATGATGACAAAGCTGTCCTCTGATCTCCACATCATGTGCCATGGAACACATGGCCTGAACACACACACACACACACACACACACACACACACACACACACACACACACACACACACCACAAGAGAGAAACAGACAGACAGATTTCAGAAAGAAAATAATGTCCTAAATTATTATCACTAGATAACCTCTATTAATTACATTAAATAATAAAAATATCATGGGTACAAGATGAGATAATTCAATTTCCATGATATCATAAAAGCAGTAGTTCCCTACCCCTCTGGTTTCCCTCCCTGGGATTGCTCTCAAGGGATCATTAGTAATAGTTCCAGATTTCTCACTTCTCTCCAATGTGTGTTGTATGCCAACCTTCATACTTACATTTTAAAATTACATAATTTGCCAATTTTACTGCTCACTACCAATTCATGCCTAGTTCTTTTGCTACATCATATATCCCATAACAGAATGTGACTTCCCACCCAAGTTCTGTAGTAATAAATACTTTGATTTTTATAATTATTCTCTCTAAACAATACTACCATAGCAACCATCCAAATAAGTCCTGTGGTTATTGTATATCTAATTGTACATAGCTTATTCTTATTGTATAAACAGTGAAATTGCCAAATCAATGATATTTGCATTTTTACTAATGAAGAAGTCTTGTCATGAAATAGGCACTCAGTGAAACTAAAATTGTCTTATTGTCTATCATTAAAATTGCATTACTTTGTCACATACTCACTGATTAAGTAGATGAGTGACACTTCTTTTGAGTCAGGGTTCTACTCTGTAGCATATGGTGGCTTAGGCAACTCACTCTGTAGACAAGGCTGCCCTCAAACTCATGGTGATCATTGTGCTTCATCTTCCAAACACTCAGTTTGCAAGCATGAGACAATAGGTGTAACACACTAAAGTATTTTTAAAAATCTCCATAGTGGATTGAATGAGTCTTCACAAATGGTGTGCTCATGTCCTGACTCCTGGATTCTGTGAACATTCTTTCATCCTGGCTATCCAAGCCCACACCCCAAAGCAGCTACCATATCAGCACGAAGTAGAAAAGGAAGGATAAAATTGTACCCAGAACATTGGCAAATAAACATGCAGCAGGAGGAAATCTGGTGGATATACAAATGAAAGAGTGCTAGCTATGCAGCTGACAGGCCTTACAGATGTGCACCTGAAGCCCAGGGCTGTAGCCATCAGAGATGGGAAGAGACAGGAGTGCTTCCTCCCCAGCAACTCCAATGAACATCTGCCCTGTTCACAACCACACAGCATCTAAGTTTCCAGATCAGTGCAGGGCTATATACACTTCTGATGTTTTAAGTTACTCAGTTTGTGGTAGTTATCAATGGCACCTCGGGAAGCTGATAAAATCATTATGGCTAATTTGGACACATATCGACATCAGAAATGAGTGTGGTTTGGAGGCAAATTGATAAAGACACAAAGATTCCCCTGCAGAGCCTGGCCCTAAGGCCTGCTATTCCACTTCTCTCCCAAACAACTCTACCAGACTGCTTCCATTCCAGGCCTTTTGGGCTGGCAGGTCTGCAACTGGATCCCAAAATACCAAACAAGTTGAAACAAGCCTGTTTTCGATGATAACAAACACCAACTTAACAATTTGTTTTGTTTTGTTTTGGCACAGTTGCTTCCATTCAACTATCATTGAGAGAATAGTTTTTGCTAAAGGGATACTCCTGCTTCCATTCCAGGCCTTTTGGGCTGGCAGGTCTGCAACTGGATCCCAAAATACCAAACAAGTTGAAACAAGCCTGTTTTCGATGATAACAAACACCAACTTAACAATTTGTTTTGTTTTGTTTTGGCACAGGCAGATCCAATATAAATTGATCTGATCCAGACTTTGAAAAGAAACTTTCTACGTGTTTGTGCTTTCCCCTAAAAACCGAGGTAGTGGCAGATGGAGGCTCAGGAATCTCTCTATTCATCAAATCCTAATTGATCCTAAGAGAGTCTTGTTGGAGAGTGAAGAGCACTTTTCCAGACAATCTTCGGTCTCTACCCTGGAGGAAAATTACCCTGCCATCTGGAAAAAAAGCAGACTTCTCCTTTCACAGACATAGTTAAGCTAATTACCAACTGCTTCCAACTTACACAGCCCGGAAGTCTGTACTGACTCGCTGCTCCACGTTCCTGTGTCTCCTGTTCACAGGTTCGAACTTGCTGCCCCAGGAGGACTCTGAGCTGCTTAATCTTTCTTCTCAACTCAAGGATGAGATTGAAGTCAAGCCGTGGAGGTTGGACATGTGCATCACTTAGTCAGCTGTTTGCTGCACAAATGTGAAAAATCTCCAGCAACTGTGTAAAACACTGGGCATAACAGAGAATACCTGAAATCCCAGAGCTGAGGACACTGAGACAGAAGGATCCCTGAGGTCTGCAGGCCAGATAGCCTGGCCAAATTAATGACCTCCTGGTTCAGTGAGAGACCCTGTTTCAAAAACAAGATGGAAAAAAAGGCATAGGTACATGTGCCTTTAATCCCAGCACTCAGAAGGCTGGTCTCTGTGAGACCAATGCCAGCCAGGCCGACATAGTGAATTTCAAGTCACTTATAGCTAAATAATGGTCTTAACGTTTTTTAAGTCAATAGTATTGAAAAAGACACCTGACATTAACTTCTGGCCTCCACACGTATGTGCACATACATGACATGCATCAATGCCGGCATAATGCACAAGAACACACACATAAATAAATCTGATTACTGTGTACATTTCTAAAACAAGTAATAGTGGAGTTCAGAGAGACTAAAGGATTTGTCACACTTCAAATTCATTGATATCCTCCATACTATAATGATTTGTATGGATCATCCCTCAAGGCAGATATAAGAAAAAAAAACCTTGCTTAATTTTAGGTATTTGCTCTTGGAAGATTGGGTCTCCTTGTGCAAATGAAGATGAATACTTGTGGTCATTCAAGTCCCTGATATTTTCAGATTCAAATATTAGTTTATTGATATATATATCACTTCAGTTAAGATTAATCAAGAGTAAAAATATCCCAAGCCAATTTCAATGTGGAGTGAGTGTTGACACAGCCTCTCAACAGTGCTTGTGTCCTCCTGCTCTGTCTTCTGGGATCCAGATCAGAGGTCATCCAAAAACCCGTATGAATTTTTTAAAAAATCTGTCTAAGTATACAGATTTCAAAAAGCTTGACACTGGAATTTCCTTAACAAGTCATTAATAAGTAAAGTCTTCAGGTGGTCATCCTCCAGAGACCTATAAAGAGAAAATTAAAAGCAAGATCAATTGTGCTTCTGTAAAATCCTACATTTTTTATGACTACGAGAAATGAAATAAAACAAAACAAATTACCTTTTCTGAAAATGAGTCCCATTTCTGTTCCGTAAGTCACAGTGGAATAAGTGACCAGAATCAAAGGCAAGAAGAGATCTAAATTCAGATACCCAAATTCCTTTATTTACCTAATCAGTATGGAGTCTGTGCCAAGCATGAGCTAGATTACAGCAGAGAGAAAAACCGTGTATCATCTAAAAGAGCTATACTCTATGGAGTGAGGTACAAAAAGATGGATGCAGATTTCATTTCTAGTTCTCAACAAAAATATGGCTAGAGACTCAAAGCAGACACCTCTTGCTGCCCTCTGTCTGAACGAGCTTATTTTCGGAGGTCTACAGCTTAAATTTAGACAGTCATGCCAGTCACATCCACAAAAGTGCCATCACTCAGAGAAGCTGTTGCTGTACAGGAATTTTCAAGGATGTTGACTCCCTCAAGGGACGTGCCTCCGAGAGGGAGTATATGTTCCCAAAGGACTCTTCCTGGTGACCAACCAGTGTCTTCCACTTTCTTGCACCTGTTCGGCTGTTGTATGCATACACATTTCCAGAGACTGAGGGAAAAAAACACACAACATACATAAAGTGAATTATGACAAACTTGCACCAAGTATTTGGCAAACATATGCTGTGCGGTCCAGAGAGTGGCTAGCTTGGCTTCTCAAGTCTTGCTTTCTTTACCAAGAGAAAAAGAAGCAAAAGGAGGCATCTTGGGATTTCAAATGCATTTAAAAATTTGCACCTTCTAGTGAATTCTTTGGTGGGAAGAACGGTACTATATATTGATATTTTCAGCAGTTGCATTAATCTTCATGGCTGACTAGCTCTCTATAAAGAGGCATATTTTTAGGAAATGCAAAAAGGATGGAGTCTGAAGCCTCTGGTGTAGGCGATTGTACTATGCCAATGTCAATTTCTTACTTTGGACCATGTATTGTAATTATCAAAGACATTCCCTTTAGGACAGTAGGTCCCACAACCTGTGGGTCATGATCCCTTTGGGGGTCAAACAATCCTTTCACAGGGTTCACACATCAGATATCCTGAATATCATATATTACATTATGATTCATAACAGTAGCAAAATTAGAGTTATAAAGTAGCTACAAAAATAATTTTATGGTTGGGGGTTCACCATAACATGAAGAATTATATTAAAGGATCACAACATTAGGAAGGTTGAGAACCACTGCTTTAAAAGAACCCTGGTAACAGATAGGTATGCAGTAATCCTGTACTGGTTTTTGACAATTTTGTGAGCCTATAACTGCTTTTTAGAGGTTAAAAAAATGAATAGTTCAAAACTGTCACCAAGTCCTCCCCTCCCCTCTGCCAAGTTCTTTAATTGATCTGCGGATTTATCAATCAATCTTTGTAGAAGCAATAATGAAATACTGGAGAAAGAATTCAGGAGATGAAGCTTGAAAGTAGGATATTATAGCTGTTTATTAGATGGCTAGATAAAAAATTAACCATAGTAGAAAAAGGATTCCTGTAGTGCTGCTCAGATAATAGTAGTAAGTAGAGAAGTATGTGCAGTGTTTTCATGACAGACACACCCAATACACTGAAGAGGGGCTTATGCATTAGAAATGAGGAAACTGAGGCACACATTTGTTCACTGGCAATGTTAAATCATCTGTGAGTGACTACAGAGCTTTAGAATTAACAGTCAAAGGCAGTAAAGAAGCTGTTCTGTGATCCATGTTTATTTAAATCCACAAAACAAACAGGACTTTACACCTCACATTCTAGGTCCTACTGAACATTTAGTAAACAAGGATCTGAAATGACACACACAGGTTAATATCAGTGTTCTGTAAAGCTGTCCTAGTTGAGTCAGCTCCTCAAAAGCCATTCGCTGTGTCAGGTAGGGGGACTAGGCAGTCTATGGGGCCACTGGCAGTGGAACCAGTACTCATTCCCAGTGCACAAATGGGCTTTGGGGGACCATTCCCCATGGAGGGTTACTCTCTCAGCCTAGATACCCGGGGGAGGGCCTAGGTCCTACCCCAAGTGATGTGACAGACATTGATGATCCCCCATGGGAGGCCTCACCCTCCCTGAGGAGTGGATGGAGGGAATGGAGGGAATGGGGATATGGAGTTGGGAATCAGAGGACAGGAGGGAGAGGAAATTGAGATTGGTATGCAAAATAGATTGTTTTTAATTTAAATAAAATTAATTTAAAAATTCATTGCAGGATGACTCTTCTAACTTAGGTGTGAACAGCATTTCTCACTGAAAACCCCCTTCTACACAACACACACACACACACACACACACACGATACTTTTTTTGTTTTGTTTTGTTTTGTCTCTTTGAGACAGGATTTCTCTGTGTAGCTTTGGAGCCTATCCTGGCACTCGCTCTGGAGACCAGGCTGGCGGCGAACTCACAGAGATCCACCTGCCTCTGCCTGCCCAGTGCTGGGATTAAAGGCATGCGCCACCAATACTGACTCACACCTATACTCTTTTTTTTGTAGTTTTTTTTATATATTTGAGTTACAAACAAGATTGAATTATATGATGATCCCAGTTCCCTTCTCCCTCACTTTCTCCTCTACCACAGCCCCAACTAAAATCCTACTTATCATATGTGCTTTCTTCTAATCTACACCTGACTCAAAATTTCTGCTTCCTCGTGACCTCTGCATGCTTCCTTTTCTTCCATTCTCACTCTCCTAGCTTTCTCCCCCCTCTTCCCATGTTCTCAATTTGCTCAGGGGATGGTGACCCTTTCCCCTTCTCCAGGGAACAAAGTTTGTCTCTTTTAGGGTCTTCCTTGTTTACTAGTTTCTCTGGCAGTGTGAATTGTAGGATGCTAATCCCTTACTCTATGTCTAAAATCCACATATGAGTGAGTACTTATCATGTTTGTCTTTTTGTGATTGGGTTACCTCACTCAGAATGGTTTCTTCGAATTCCATCCATTTTCCTGCAAATTTCAAGATTCCATTGTTTTTTTT